TTTTTGTTTAAGAGTGCCAAACACAAATAAACATATCCAAGACCCTGATCATTTGAATGGCTGCTTTTGAACTTTGTCTATCTCTTTTATATCCTTTTTCAAATGGGATAACCAGAACTATACACAATATTCAAGATGCAAATATACTGTAGAAAGGAATAATGGTTTTACTTCCATTCCTTTCCTACTGATCCCTAACATGGGATTTTTTTTCTCAACTGCCACATAGTCAGTGGCTTCACTGAGGTCTCCATTATCACCCAAGATCTTTCCCCTGCCTAAGTACAGCTCAGGCCTCAACAATGTAGATGTCAAGGTAGGAAATTATGCCCCAGTACATGTCACTTTCAGTGTTCTTCAAGGGAACTGCACTGACCACTAAGGTGACTTTTCATTCTCTTTCAAGAGATTCTTCTCAAATTTCTCACAATCACTTTTGTTTTCACTACCTTGAGTATTTCAGTATCATCTACAGGCTTGGCCAACTCATGGCTTATCAAGAAAACTAGCAGCCATTGCATTTTCTCCCAGTGGTTTCTGAGATTAAGTGGTGGCCTAAAGTAGCCTCTAATTACGTAGTCTCCAATTATGTAGCCAATTATGGATTGTTACTGCCCTCTCAATAAATACATATGAGAAATCAGGGAAGGTGTAATTTTGCTGGAAATGGGGGGGTGGGGAACATAGAGAAGAATAGAACTGGGGGCATATGACCACAAGAAGAGGTAAGCAGATTAAGGAAGAAAGAAGAGAGGCAGAAATCCGCTTTAGAGAAACTGTTTCTGCAGACAAGCAGGGATAAACGACAATCCTCCAATCCCAGAGTTAGGATTACGATTAAGCGCTGGCTAATGCTCAAATGCATTCGCACCTGTCTGTAGCCATTTATACCTCTTGCCCAGTCATATTCAGCACAGATGTCTGTTCCCAAACTGAAAGCCAGTATCCCCAACCCAACTCACAGGTAATGATTAGGAAGGGAAAAAAACTCAACTTCCATTCAGGTAATGGTTTAATAAAAATCTTGGTATCCCTAATATCTCGCTGCAGATGGGATTATGTTTGAGGCATGCTTAGCTAAATGCCATAAAGTCTAGCTATACTCCACCTACTACACAGACAAGATCTCTGTCTTGTAGTAACTTGGACACTCTTCAAAAGCTTACCTGTAATCTCCTTTATTTGGCCCATCCATCTTATCCCTTCTCTTCCCCTTCCTTCATTCTAACACATTTTCACTAATCATAATCCACTCCCTTTCCAATTTGGCATGCTGATCAGAAATGAAATAACTTCTTTCCACACGTACATAGTGTCTCCCCATGTAGCTCCTTTTATGAGAAATTAACTATCCTGAATGAAGCTCCTTCTACATTACATGCTGGCAAGTGGGTTCTCCCTTGTGTGGATCCTTTTATGAAAAGAGAGGGAAGCATTGTGACTGAAACTCTTTCCACAGTCTTTGCACTGATATGGTTTCTCTCCTGTGTGGATCCTCCTATGTGAAGTCAGGGAACTGCTTGTATTAAAACTCTTTCCACAGTCTGTGCATTGATATGGCTTCTCCACAGAGTGGATCCTCTTATGTGAAATAAGGGAACTGCTCGTGTAAAAGCTCTTTTCACAGACTGTGCATTTATAAAGTTTTTCCCCTGAGTGGATCCTCTTATGGGAACTAAGATGACTGCTTTGACTGAAGTTCACTCCACAGTCCATGCACTGATATGGTTTCATCCCTGTATGGATCCTTTCATGGGAACTAAGGGAAGCGCTCTGGCTGAAACTCTTCCCACATTCCATGCACTTATATGGTTTCTCCCCTGTGTGGATCCTTTTATGAGTAGTAAGGGAACCACTGGTGGTGAAGCTCTTTCCACACTCTGTGCACTGATATGGTTTCTCCCCTGTGTGAATCCTTTTATGGGTGGTAAGTTGACTGCTATTAGTAAAGCTCTTTCCACAATCCATGCATTTATATGGCTTCTCCCCTGTGTGGAACCTTTTATGAGAAATAAAGGAACTCA